TCCGGAGGCTGCGACCTCGCCGCGCGCCTCAATAATTCAAAGATGTTAAGCCGCAAATTGGCATTGGCAGTGGCATTGGGCCGAAGGTGGGTGGCCGACCCACAGACTCACAGACCCACAGCTGGGACCGGCAGACAGGATACACATCCGCTGGGCCCAGAAGGCACCGACTGAGGGTCTGGCACGCACACATTAAACTCTATTGGGTGCTAATGTTTTTCGTCCCACCCTCGCCTGCAAAATTTTCATAAATTCAGCAATGAGCCTGTCGACACACACACACGCGCGGCCAGCCTGCTCCGTGTGAGTAATAAAAATACGCTAAAATGTTTGTATCTCATACATAAACACGCTGCTTATTGCCTACTTCCAGGCGCAGAGAGCCAGGATACGCGCTCGCCTGTGTGTGTTTGGCCGGCGCGGTTGTGTGGGTAAGTGGTCGATAGGGCGGGGAAGTGCTTCCGGTAGCCGTTAATGCTGCTGGCGAAGGTCGATGTTCCGTCGCTCGTTTATTAAAGAGCGAGCTTTAAACACTCGCAAACCGATCGCGGTGAACAGACTAAATGGATTACAAAATAAAACAGCAAAGGTTTTTTAGAAATACTGATACACCATAATCCACGCAGTATTTGCAGCCGCTAATTGAAATATCCTTTGACAAAACTGGGTTTCCCCTTTCAGCCTTTTCTAAATACCTTACTCCCTGTTTAAATTCATAATCTGGTAGAATAAAAGGATTTAAATTAAACAGAATCCTTTTTAAACCAACAGAGTTACGCTTGAAACAAATTAAAGTAAAATATGTTTGTATTTCATTTTCTATAATAGTATTTAAGTATAGCTATTACTCTTAAATAAATACTAAGACCTTTCACAAATATATCTTAAACGAAGTTGGTATAGTAAATAAATATTGATGTAAATATTTCTCAAGTTAAATTGGTATAGGCTGTAATACTTAAGATAAACAAACATCAAACGGGTGATAAAACAGAAACAAATCAAGGAAATAGTTTAAATAAAATTGTAAATACATCGAGCTCGCTGTCATTTTTGAGTTATCTAGAAAGACTGTGCTGGCTTAGGATTAAACTCTTGCCAACTGTCAGCTGTAGCCGAACACATTTGCTTGCTCGATGTTATTGGAAGTCCCAAGAATTTTTAGTGACTTCTTTTCGGGGAACAGAGCCAGTCCGCCCGCCATAAGACGCCGTTCCCAGCTCCATCTCGGCGCATCCCGAATCCATTTGGTCTATATGCTTATGCGCGAGCTTATCGGCGCTTCAAGTAAACAGACAGGCAGCTATAAAAATTTGCATTTGACTAATGCCAAATATTCGGAGACGACGACGACAACGAGGGCTACGAACGCCATCCGATAAGCCAAAGCATCCTCAGCATTAACCCCCTGCACCCCTGCACCCTTAACCCGCGAGTCAACCCTTGCAGACGGCAACAACAACATCGTCTTGGAGGAGATGCCAATGCGTTTACTGATTTTTTGAGTGCGATACGTGCGAAGATTTTCTTTTCTCTGCTTTTTTCCTCCGGGGGAAAAGTGGGCGGTGGGTGGTGGGTGGCCGGCGGCGAGGGGCGCGGGTGGTGGGATGCTTTTATGCCATTTCCTATTAAGCTATTTGTTGCCAGCTCTCTTTTATCGCTCTTACTCTCTTCGGCTCTATCTCTTTTCATACCCCACTTCGCCGCATTGTGAGTTGCCAAATTTCGTGTGTGGCAGTTGCATTGCGAAAGATACTAAAAGCTTACCCCACACACAGATACTAACGCTCACATGTCTCGTTTATCGATTTTCTTCACCCCCGGTTTTGCACCCTCTGTGGATTTTTGACATGCCAACGCATTTTAAATTTGCATTTTTTGGCACCCAAACAGGCCAAAATTTTGGCTAAAAGCATTAAGGCCATGGATGGGCTGGCATTTTAAACTGCACTCGAACAACTGAAATTGCCAAAATATGCCAACAATAGACTTAGTTTTCGTTAGCAAAATATTGAAAAATATTGCTACGCAAACATTTGGAAATATATATAAAATACAATTCTGAAAAATTGGTACAATTTATGGACGTGCTACTAAAGGGAGGGGGAAAAGTTGAATTTGCATGAATGCGGAACGAATGGTGGTAAATAAAATTTTAAATGTATGGAAATAGTATGCGGAATAACTCAAACCCGAAAAGAATCTATAGATAAGTAAGGATCTTCTATAAAAAAATGGTGCATAGAAAAGATAAAAATATATTTGGAATGAAAGGCAATATAAGAAACACTTAGCTTATTAAAAAGGTTTAAATTTTTCGGTTTTACTAATATTAAAGCTTTCTAGCACATGTATTATCCTTAATCTCTAGTATAAACATACATGTGTAAGCATACCTAATCTGATTATGTTATGGCAAACGTGCCTGTTTGACTTTTGTTAAAATTTAAAAGTTTTGCCATCTTCGGCAATCTTTGACCCACGCCTTCCTTGTTAGCCCACATAAACTGAGAGCTTTCCGGGCTCTTGTTTTATAAAATTTATGACGAACCATACACAAGAATATGCGCAAATGCTATAATAAGTCACTGTCACGACTTATGAGTTCGTATGTGTTTGGGGCAGCCACAAACCACTGAGATTTGGAAGGTAACTTTTTGCACATGCCCGTTGATTTATTAAGCCTGACGTATTGGCATACATTCCGAAAGATCAGGCTCCGTAAGACCATAAGTCCTATTTGCCACATGCAAATATTAATTAATATTTTTCCACTTTGGAATCACTCCCCAGGCAAACATTAAAATTGTTTTGGGTTTCAAGCGATCTCATTAAGTCCCGACACGCCCACAATTAAAGCATACCCCAAAGAAGAAAAAGAAAAACTTTTCAAATATTATTACGAGCTCTTATAATAGATTATGTCAAAACGGAACCAAAGTTGCCTGGAGTAAAGAAAATTCCGTGGAATTAATTTGAAAATATAAATTGCGAAGGGTGGCTGGCAAAATAGCTGTGAATTTGTTGTGTGTCACGTCCAGTCGACTTTTCCGTTCAGCATGGAAATTTCTTTTCTTGGAGGCCATTTCTGGCAAATGGCAGCTAAGCGACGCATAATGAGGACTCGGGCCGCCGACTTTGCGACTTTCTGCGGTTGCCCCATGGCCCAAAACCCAAAGCGAACGTCTTTAAGAGCAAGACAAAATGCGAAAGTGTACTCGCACAGGGCACAATTGATTTAAGCAGCTTGGCAGGGGCCTTTGACTGCGTCTAATCCTATTTTTCATTAATCTAATTAAGCCTGCGTAGAGAGAAAGCATTTCGGTAGACAAGGCCAATCTAATGAAATTATGGCGAAAGACAAAGGGCCGGAATGCAGCTCGAGCATTATCGATTAGCCGAATTGGGGTCAATTAGCCGAGCTGAGGAATTTTCGGCAAGCGAAACTTTCCAAAAATCCAAATTATCTGGGTCTTAATTTAATTTCGGCGCATGTTGGAGCACACAAAGGCGCCAAGGGGTTCTCGGGCCAAACGGTTTTGCGAGTGTGCCGAGTAGCAAGCATTCCCTTAGGTAATCTCCCAGCTGAACCTTGACAGCCGGGAAATATTTAATGCTCCCTGCCATATTTAATAATAAAACCTTTTGCAGACTGCGCCAAAAAAAGAATGCGAAAAGGCCAGCGCAGAGACGTCCTTTGGGCATTTCAAAGAGGAGAAGTGCGATAAATAAGGACGAGAGATGAGCCGGGTGCAGGGCATTCAAAAGTGCACACTAAATGCTCGGGCGCCTGAAAGTATGCTTTCAATTGTGCGCAATTTAGTGCGACAGGACGACAACAATAGGACCTCTTGGGCGTGTGTGTGCTGGTGTGAGTGTGTGTGAATGCAGTTGTGCCAGTCTTAGTGCCTGACTAGGTGCGAACAAACATGTGCGAAAACGGCGCCTAAAAACAGGCAGCACAAAAAGGCCAGCGACTCCGGCTCATTGTTCGCCGTGCTTTCTGCTTTCTGCCTTCTGGTCTCTGCGCTCCGCTTTATGCTCCTTGCTCTGTGATTACGATTATTATGATTATTGTTTACTAGGGCCGGGAGGGGGGAGTGGTGCAGAGGGCAGGGCAGAAGTAAAGGCAAATATCATAATAAAAGTTCATAAAATAAAACGGCCTGGAAGCCAGGTCTTCGGGTTCGCTGTGCCCGTTCTGCACAGGAAGAATCCTCTGCAAGCAGACATTGGTAGGTAAATTTGCTCCCAGAAGTGAAATGGTTCCATCAGTTTTTTAGGTTGCGGAAATAACTGCCACTTAAATCTTGGCTTGATATTACTTATAAGTAAATAGAAATTCATGAAAAAAACCTATTGAAAAGTCCAACATACTTTAAATCCCTTTCTGATGAAGGGAAAGTTCAGAGGTCACTATCAGAAACTAGCTAGTATATTCCAACTTCGTTTCATTTCTTTAAATTGCTTTAGTTTTATAGGTGTTTGGTGGCCATTTAAACTGAAATCTAAAGCTCGGAAGTTTCCCTACAGTTTCTCCCCGTGTGGCCGTCTTTTCCTTGGTTCCGTTCAGCCAACAATGCGACATGGCCGCGCTAGTTTTATGTGGCACATAAACATAGCTGCCACTCGCGTTGTTGCACGCTTTTTGGCGCGCAAAAACTTGGCGCCCGCTCGCCATTTTATTGCTTGTCTTGCACACACACTGGCACAGCTTTTGTCATTCCATTCGGTTTCGTTCTCGCTTTGTTTTTGCCCCTGCGCTTCTGTGCCAACAACCTGCCACGCCTGAAATATGCTTGCTGCATACTTTTGGGCGCTGGGCATGAAATTAAATGCCGAAAGTATTTCACGATATAAATAATCCACTCAGGGGTCTCAGGAATCATGGGCGAAACAAACCTGCCAAGGGGGAATAGCTAAAGATGATGTTTTAGGGCGAGAAGTGTTCTGCGGAATAAGTAAGCACTCATTTCTCAGAAATTGTGAGCCAAACGTACCTGTTAACTAGGTATCACTTTGCAGAACCAGAAGATATAGATTCACTTGCGCTCCGAGTATTTAAATATTTTCCTAAGTTACTCTGGGGACTAAAGTCTACTCCTCAAACAAACCCTAGCACTTTCTGTCTTGTTTGTTTTTGGGCAAAAAACTGGGGTTTTTATGCGAGCTGTTATTACTCTTCGGCGTTGGCAAATTAATGTTGTGCCTAGTCGGCCGGACACGGACGTTGCTCCGGCGGAAACGGAAACCGGAAATTGCGCGCACAACAAGCGACCCACCGAAACGCTGGCCACTCTCACAACACTTCACTTGAGCTCGGAGTTCTGTTGTTTATGCTCGCTCCAGTGAAACCGCAGAAAATCCAGCCGATTGACAACGGCACTCGATGCGTATTTAAAAACGCTTGAAATGCAATTAATTTTGATTTTTTCAACACACGCACTCACTTCACAGCGGCGTAATTAATTATGTTTGCCTTGTGCCTCGCATTTATTGTGCGTATTTATCTTGTCTGCGTAAACTGTTTAATGAGTTACTTCGGCGAGGACTGCCGTTTGCACTTGCTGCACGGACTTTTAGTTGTTTTGCGAAAAGTTAAAGGGAATTCCGGACTTACGCACGCCGCACGCTCCGCTGCGATTTGCACCCAGTAAATGTATTCGCCACGACGCACGTCCTTTGCTGACGACCAACGCTCGCAAACTGACGGTACGACATAGCGCCGCGAGGATATATGGGGTGTACGTCGCATCGCGTGTTATACTTCCACCCGAGTGTTATACGACTTCCAGCCAGAGAGCTGCGCTCTGGGAACGACGCTCTCTCCACCGCCCAGTCGGTTTTTTCGCCTGGCTTTGGCGGCATTTGCCAGATTCTCAGAGATGAGAGCAGATACTTCATCGCAATTGCCGGCAACCGAGATCCTCCAGAGGAAACTTAACTGCATTTGCTTATAAATTATGTCTTGACTTGGGTGTTAATGTGCGCTGAAGCGTTCAGAGTGACGGCATGACAGAGTGGCAGTCGGACGGACTGCGGCAGGACGGGCACCTACACAACTGTCTTTGCGCCCTGCGACAAGGACACACCTGTTGGGCCACCTGAGTGCAGGTGAAGGGCCCTGCGCACGACGAAGGGCATTGGGCCAACTACTGAAGTGCAGGGCCAATTTAACAGCATTAATACATTTGTGATATCAGCAGGAAAATAGCTTGTCAGAGCTCACACAAGTGGGTATACAAATCTTTACGAAAACTGATATAATGACAAAGGTGTTTTTAAAAAGGCATTTCATTCACTCTAATAATTATTATGAAAATATTAAAAGTGAGAGAAGTGAAAATGGTTGTGAATATAATAATAAATACCTACAAAAAGGAAGCCAACTTGGGCAAGCCGAAGTTTATATACCCTTGCAGGACGTTCCTATGGGAGCAATGTATGTACACAGTTTTCCGGTTTTTAGAAAATTAAAACAAAATAACAGAAATATTTAGATAATTTTACATTTCAATTTACCAGATTAAATGTTTTACCGAAACAAAATATAACAGTTTTATTATTTTTACCTACCTTCCTATGGGAGCTATGTATTTGGTATATTGGTCCAATTTCTCTCAAATATAATTCGTGATTCTTATATATTAAGAAAAATGCTATATACCGGAGTAAAAGTCAATATAATGAAAATTAACGAAGCCATAATTATTTTCGCATTAATTGTCCGATCGTTCGTATGGCAGCTACATACATACATATATGATACATTCGTTCGATGGTTTTTGTATTCGAAATTCTGAAATATTAAAAGAATAATAACAGAAAGTAGAAGAGTAGAAGCTAGCACCGAAGCTATAATTTAAAACAAGGAAGAACGCTATAGTCGAGTACCCCGACTATCAGATACCCGTTACTCAGCTAAAGGGACCAAAGGGAAATGGAGATATGCAAGCAGCAAAGCGAGATTGAAATGCGCAACCTACCGGCGGTAGACAGATTTAAGCGTTATGGGCGTTAAAGTGGGCGTGGAAATTTTTTTTTTAAATCAATCGATAAGTATTGACGAGACCAATATATTTCAGTTAAAATTTTGTATATAGCATGAAAATTGTGCGCGTCACAGGCTTGGGTTTGTGGGCGTTTAAGTGGGCGTGTCAAATTTTTTTGGGTCAATCGATACGTTTTGATGAGAACAATACATTTCAGTTAAATTTTTTTTAATAGCATAAAAACCGTTAGAGTGGGCGTGGCACTCTGCTGAAACAAACTTGCGCTGCGTAAGAAGCTCAACAATCTGCACGCCAAATCTCAACTGCCTAGCTTTTATAGTTTCCGAGATCTCAGCGTTCATACGGACAGACGGACAGACGGACAGACGGACAGACGGACATGGCTAGATTGACTCGGCTAGTGATCCTGATCAAGAATATATATACTTTATGGGGTGGGAAACGCTTCCTTCTGCCTGTTACATACTTTCCGACGAATCTAGTATACCCTTTTACTCTACGAGTAACGGGTATAACTATTATTTTAATGTAATATACATTCTTTTTATTTGACGTGTTCTAAAATTTATTTTGCCTCTGCACACAAAATTGTTTAAGAATTCAATTCTAAAAAAAAGAAGAAAAAAGAAAAATAAATGTTGACTCTTCGTGGGCCCGAACTCACGCCATTTGGATGAGTCTGAAAGTTCAACGGATTAGACCGCTAGGCCACCGATTTTCAAATTTCAAGGGCGATTTTCTAGTTTCAAGGGCGATTTTGGATGATTTTTTGTTTTACGAAATAAGGCAATTTGCCCTAAATATGAGAAAATATTAAAAGCATATGCTCGGAAAAATTCGCCCTAAATAATAGAAATTTTAGAAAAATTAACCCTGAAACATATTTTCTATGGCGATTTTTCCTATATTTAGGGCGATTTTTCTTAATGTTAGGGCAATTTCATGTTTAGGGCGATTTTTCTAGTATTTAGAAAAATTTTTTTATGAGTGTACCCTTGCAGGTCGTTTCCGTGGGAACGTTGTATGTTTAGAGCCGATTTTCCGATTTTTAGAACACCAAAAGCTAATTACAGAAATTTTAGGATAATGTTTCATATTAATTTATTACCTATATGTTTACCGAAAACGAAATATAACGGTCTTTGTATTATTTTGACATTAATTATCCGATCTTTCCTATGGCAGCTATATAGTAAAGTCGTCCGATTTTTTTTTATACCCGTTACTCATAGAGTAAAAGGGTATACTAGATTCGTCGGAAAGTATGTAACAGGCAGAAGGAAGCGTTTCCGACCCCATAAAGTATATATATTCATGATCAGGATCACTAGCCGAGTCGATCTAGCCATGTCCGTCTGTCCGTCTGTCTGTCCGTCCGGATGAACGCTGAGATCTCGGAAACTATGGGAGCTAGGCTATTGAGATTTGGCGTACAGATTCCTGAGCTTCTTACGCAGCGCAAGTTTGTTTCAGTAGACTGCCACGCCCACTCTAACGCCCACAAACCGCCCAAAACTGTAACTCCTACAGTTTTGATGCTAAATAGAAAATTTTAACTGAAATGTATTGTTCTCATCAATACCTATCGATTGACCTAAAAAAAAGTTTGCCACGCCCACTTAAACGCCCACAAACCGTGAAATCCTGTGAGGCCCACAATTTGCATGCTAGATAAAAAAATTTACTTCTACTATTAATTACCCTTTAATTAGCTTAAGAAATGTAGATATGCTTAAAGCAACTTTGCTTTTTTTACTAACACAACTAGCCTATAGCGCCACCTATCATCTTCTATTAAAGCGCCACTTGGCCTACAGAGCCAATAGCCCATAGCGCCCCTAGCGGCTTGATGGCGTGTTAGTAAAAACAGCTTATTTTCTGCATGTGGTGTGTAAAATCGATTGAACTGGTTATCTTTTCAATAATTGTTGACATGTTGATAATAAGAACGAACTCTCATTTAAATTTTTACCAAATATTAAACAAGAAAGGAATTTTGTATACCTTTGCAGTTATAAATATTACATTTAATTCGAAATTCTGAAAAATACAAAAAATTATATTCCCTATAGTAGAAGATAATATGTCAAAAACACGGAAGCTATAATTTGTTTCACATTATTTTTCCACAAATTTTCCGATCGTTCCTATGGCAGCTATTCGATATAGTAGTCCGATTTTGATCAAATTAAATTCAAAATTCAGAACTAATTTAAAAATGTTATTTCCAAGCATAGGAGGTTATATGTTAAAAAACACCGAAGCTATAACTTGTTTCATATTATTTTCCCACCAATTTTCCGATCGTTCCTACACAGAGAGAATTATTCAAGTAATTTGTACTCAAATTGAGTATTTTTGTACTCAAAAAATCAGCATGAACAAAAATTCTCACATTGAGTGCAAAATACTCACTTTCAGTACAAATTTCTCAAAAAATTTGTACTTAAATTGAGTACGTTTGTGCTCTTTTTTGAACATTTTTCCTCAATATGAGTACAAACTGCACTCATTTTAAGAAATAATTTAGCTTGAATCTTAGAATCGAGTATCCCCTTTTCTCAAACTGAGAAATTTCTAGCGCTCAAAATGAGAAACAAGTTCTTGATAGTGAACTTATAAATTCTTAAATGAAGAACTTTTGCACTTAAACCCGCTCCACCCATTCCCAGAAAAAAGGTAAAATATTTTTTTTCATTATATTTTGTAATACAGTTATATATATACAAACATATTATTTTTTATTTAAGTTTATGTTCCATGTTATGGGTTATGATATTATTCCCTTAGCTGTCTGGTCTAGCGAAAAGCAATAAGGCTGAAAAGAAAACGTTATTGTTAGCAAATATTGTAAATATATATGCATATATAAATATGAAACAATAAAATTAGAATGTTATTAAATGTACATTTAAAATGCATGTATGTATGTATGTACATTATACATAAAAAACTAACAAAACTACACAGAGAAAATTATGACGTTCTGAAATTGAGAATTTGTATTCTCATTTTGAGGATGTACTCAATTAAAGTACAAAATTTGTGGAAAAAGCTCATGTTGAGAAAAGTTGCACTCACTTTCAGAAAAATAACTTGAATTGATCACAAAATTCTAAGTTTGAGCAAATGTGTTCTTCAATTTCAAACTTGAGAATTAATATTCTCATTATGAGTAATCGATAGACTCAAAAATGAGTTGATAATTCTCATAATTGGTTCTAGAGAGTTCCGTTCTGCGAACGAGACGAGAGATGAGCGGCCTTTAGTTCGTTGCGTATATGGTTGTCTCTTTCTCACTAATGGGTGTGTAAAGTGGTACGCGCCGCATTTGTGTGACTGTCATTTGCCGTGTGATTTAGCAAAGTGAAGACGTGCGCGTAACACAAAGTTAAAAAACTTTTGTAGTGAACTGGACATTCGTGCCACCCTTCAGTACCTCGAGGGTAAGTTCTTTAATTTTAACTGTATTTATAATGTATATATAATGATACAATAAACAAACACTGCAAAAATATTGCAAAAGCGTGTACATCAATATTTATGTACATATGTGTGATTGTAAGTGGCGTGAAGCACGTGTCTACACAGAGAGAATTATTCAAGTAATTTGTACTCAAATTGAGTATTTTTGTACTCAAAAATTCAGCATGAACAAAAATTCTCACATTGAGTGCAAAA